TCCGAGGGCCGTGGAGATCGTGCTGTAGCCGGGAGCGGCTGGTTGCAGATACGAGTGTAGTAGGAGGTTGGCCGTGCGAGTTGATAGAAGCCCTCTGGGCTTCGGGGCGGCCCGGCAGAGGCTTGAAGCAGCTGACTGCAGGCAGGTGCTGAAGGCAGAGCTGGCGTCTGCCAGGTGGACAGGGTGGGGCAGAGGGAAGGCCTGCCAGGAGCGAGTCCTTCATGAAGGGGGTCTGTGGGTCGACACCGCGGGCCTGAAGGTGCCTGACCAACGCGGGGGGGATGGAGCTGGAGACGGTGGCAGGGCAGGCATCAAGTGGCCCGTGGCGGTGCTGGGACCGGTGGGCTCTGTGCACCTCACTCCTGAGGTACGCCACTCACCCCCGCTTCTCAGTCCTGGGCTACAGCCCTGCCGTCTCCGGCAAGTGTGGGGTCACTGGAGGGCTTTACAGCGGCAGTGATGGGCTCTGACTGGCTCCTAGCAGGTCACTCTGGAGGGTTTGGGGGTGAGAGAGTGGATCAGGGCGACAGGAGACTTGAAGAGGGTCTGAGTGAAGGCAGCACCTACAGGTGGGAGTAGCGACAAACTCCACTCAGTATGTCTCCACCCAGTGTGTTGCCGGTGGAATCCCAATGGCTCACTGTGGGGATGGGGAGAGGGGAGGGAGTCTGAAAAGAGGAGGGGTCCCAGGATCCTGCTTACTGAGAGCAGTCGTGAAAGGGCGCAGGAGGTGATCAACTGTGTGAGCAGAGAGGGCTGCGGGGATGTTGGGAAACAGAGTAGCAGCAGGACCTGTGGCCAGCTGTCCAGGGCGCTGCCACCAGAGGCAGCGTCATCGAGCCTTCACTGAGCCGTCACCGAGTGATTCTGAGAGACTCAGACTTCATCGGGTTGCCCAGCTTGGGCGGTGGCATTGTGGTAGAGTTGTGGCTGTGGGAAGCCCTGTGCCGGCACCCCCACCAGAACCCCAGGTCAGCAGGTCAGTTTGTTAAGGGAAATGGTTTAATCTTTAGAAGTAGGGAGCAGCCCAGAGCAGAGAGGTCGTCAGGCTCAGTCTTGCACGTGTTTGGGGGCCTCTGTGTCAACGCCCAGCGGGGAATCGGAGCCTATTCTCAAGGTTCATGGAGAAGTGGTGCTGTTCGCGGCGATGGCAGGGTTCTGTTTAAAAGGCAGGGAGGAATCTAAGAACATGAGACCTGAGAAGACCTTCAGAATAATTCCTTGGAATGCTGCCTCCCTATTCCTACTCCCACCCACTTCCTTCCCCTGGAACTAAAGTTTGTCTCTGACCTGACACTTCTGCCGGGGAGCGGTGTGGAGCCTGGTTCTCTCCAGAAACACAGCTGACTGACGTAACCTCACTTTCCTTCCCCAGGCAGGAGGCAGCACCGGGCTCCTGATGGACTTGGCAGCCAATGAAAAGGCAGTTCATGCAGACTTTTTTAATGGTAAGGATGCCAGGATTAGGGGTGCTGGTTTCAATCTGTGTTTCCTCCACAAGTTATGCAGTGGAGAACTTGTGACATGAATGACTTGGATCTTAGGCCATTGAAGCCTGAATCCCGTGCTGTTCTTGGAACGCGGTGCAGTCTGTGTAAATGGGCAGCCCTGTCTTTGAGGAGGGAAAAGCTCCCAGTTTTCATTTCGGTTTTTGAGTGTGAGCGGTGGACTCGCACCTGCACACCTGAGACTGTAGCAGATCTGGTCTTCTCTCTGAAGCCAGGAACCATTCGTGTTTCAGAGTTTAATGCTAATTACAAGAACATGGGTGGAGTTCTGCCACATCAACGGTGAAAAACTAACTGTAGAGGAAATTTTCATACATGTTTGAGGGGATATTTCCCTTGTTCCCGTCCGATTTCTCAGGGCCTTGTTCCGGCAGATCAGATTAATCCTTACCATGGGTTACACCCTAGGTAGAAACACAGGATGGTTTTCTCGGGAGAAGTAAGTGGTGCTTTCTGCCTTGCCGTCCTCTTTCACCCAGGGGCCTGCCACTGCAGAGAACTTCTGTCACTTGTTAGTGGCAGCAAGGATGTTATCTCGCCGCGTTGGGTTTAATGAGCCCAAACCCCACTGAAGTCCGAGCCTCTGTTGTTTATCTGGCTTCTCATCAGCCAGTCGTTGCCTGAAAAGAGGCCAGGCTGCTTGCTGAGGAGCAGCCCCCGGGCCCAGCCGTGCTCCCCAGGTGGCATCCTGGCTGCTGCCAACGCGGACAGAACCGAGGGAGGTGATGGTTGAGCCCTGGGCACTGGTAGCATTTCTTCAGTTCTCTAGGGGACAACAGTGTACAGAGGTGCCCACTGACCCGGGCGGCCCTGCGTCCCTAACCCTGCACCATCCACTCACACTTTGATGCTCTCCTTGGAAGCCCCACTCATCCTCTGCCAGCCTGTGGGCTTAGAGACAGCTGGCCGTGGTCTAGGGTGATTTCCAACAGCAACCCTGTCATTCTGACAAAGCGTCTGTGAGAGGGGCCCAGGCTGCCCTGCCAGGTGAGCACTGAGCTTCTCCCTCTGCGTCCGGCAGGTTGTGACGGCCCACGCGTGTGGGGAGCTGTTCCTGCGAGAGAGCCCAGTGGCTTTTGATCATGGCTTCTCCCGAGTCCTTCTTACTCACTGAACAGATAGGTTCCATGGCCTGTTGTCCCCTGGGCAGTGGGCTGCTAGCCCTGAGCCAGGCCCCTCTCTTCACTCACTGTTTTGCAAAACAGTGGAGCGTTAGACGGGGTGGCTGTGACCAAGGCCCTGACAGGTGGGCATGTTATTCTCGGGCACATCAGAGGGGGAGTTCTCAGGAGCTGGCCCTGCAGGTGAGGGGTGTTAGCTGGGGAGGGGGGGGCCGAGCTTCAGGCTGCAGGCGAGGCCAAGCGGCCAGAGAAGGCTGGCCCTGGTGGACGGGCATGGGCGGGGGAGCCAGGGCCCTGTGCAGGGCAGAAGGTGCCTGGGGCAAAGCAGGGACAGGGGCGTGAGCGGGGCTGCTACCCCCTGTGGCCGGCCTGTCCTCTTTCTGGTTCATTGTGTACTCCGCAAGCTCTCAGTGCACAGTACGCATGAATAGATTTTTAGTTTTCCTTTTCCCACTGTGCAAGTAACACATGCCCGCGGTGGGAATTTAGAAAATATGCAAAGAAGTAAACAGAAGGACAAAATGACCGTGAGTTTGGCTTTGACCCCCCGCCTCGCAGGAGACAGTGTACTGTGAACTCCTTCCAGTGGGAACGGGGCTCAGGCTGTTTCTCAGTCTTAGCTGGTGGTCAGACTCCCTTAGAGCGAGTCATCCTCACATGGCTCCACCCTCACCACCTTTCTCCTGCCCACCGTCTGCCTTTTTATCCTCACCACTGCTGCCAGCCATGAGGCTGCAGCCTCGCCTCCACGTGGGCGTGGGTGTGGGCGGGAGAGGGGGGCGGGCACGGCTCTGAGGGGCTTGCCCACGTGCTCCAGAGTGCTCCTTCATGCATTGTCTCAAGATTGTCATCAAAGTAGGAAGAAGATTACAGGTGGACTCTAGGCTCCTCTGTCCCCTTGGACTGCATGAGCTTCAGTTGGTTAGAATTGAGTCTGTCCTGGGAAAAGTCCTTCACTGTTTTTCTTTAATTTTCCCTCGAATGACCAAGTAACTCATTTTAAAGCTTCTCCTCAGCTGCTTGCCCCATGCGCCCTACCAGTCTCTGGTTTGTGCACTTTTGTAGATTTTGAAGACCTCTTTGATGATGATGACATCCAGTGACGTGTGTCCGGCCGTGCGTCTGGTCAAGCCCTTGTCCCCTGGTGGTGTGGTGGATCTCCTCAAAGGACAGTTTCAGATGGTTCCAGAGAACTTGTGAAAATGACTTGAAGTTAGGAGATGGCTGACCAAGAAAGAGGAGGACGATTTTAACATCTGGGTGGGCCTGTTGCTCTCTGAACATGACCAGCCTCTGTCCTTAACTTCAATTAAAGAAAAGTGATGTCATCACTTGCAGGGTGACTTTAATTCTTGCATTTTTGAGTGACTTTTACAATCCCGAGAGGTCTCTTTGTGCCTGTGCTGCACGTGTGCTGGTGTGCCAAGAGAAACACATCCCACATGGACACGCCTGGTGCACATTTTGCGACATGTGGCCTTAAGTAACTCTGACGGCTCCCGGTTTGCTGTGGCGGTGTTTGTCTTAGACCAGGAAGCAGTGTACATCATGCAGGTGGGCCTCCTGGGAGCACCTGTGAGACCTTACCTTGATCCCATCACTCCCCCAGGGCACAGGTGTCCCCCCCATCATGGGGCCTCATGTTC